AACGCAACTAGTAAAACTGGCTCAATTAGTAGCAGAAAAAATATATTTTTTAATTAATTTTAAACACCCATAAGGCTTTGATTTTTTTTGTTTTATGTAAAAAGACATTTAAACTACTCATTAGTAACAAAAATTCAAAAATCATAATTTTAGATTATTCTTGCATAGCTATGGCCAATTGACTCTTATCGTCCTTTCTTCCTGTGTGTTTGAAAAAACGACAAACGATCGTAATGGCGGAGGATAAAGGGTTAAATCGGGCATTTTGATGCTCGAGTCTACAAATTTTAGAGTGACCCCGATGTTGTTGTGAAAAATTGACAGATATTCTCGTGAAGCTCACATTTGTTCGCGGAAAAGAATACGCGATTTTTGCGGTGAAGAGAGGAAGCGCGAGAGAGAGTACGACGCTCCGAGTCGTTTACGGGACACGATACTTTATCACACATACGCGCGATTGCCGTTATCGATTTTGTCTCATTCAGGTATTTGTGGTCCGCTCGCTTTATGCGTGTACGAGTGTGAGAGAACCGTTGGATTCCTCTTTTATTCGCTCGCGCGCTGCTTTCGCGATTCGCGAGACTAAATTATTCATGTCTATTTGCGTCACGATCTTTTTTATCGATTAATTGTACCAACAAAAAATTCATGGAAGAAAGGGAGGGAAGGGAGGCGAAGAGAAAGAAAGAGTTATAAGAAAAAGAGAGAGGGAGAGAGAGGAAGATTGCTCCGATAAGTTGAGCAACGTGATGGACGGGTGCGACGACTCGTCAAAAAGGAATTCGCGGCACAATGTCGCGAATGCATTAAATCGCGTGTTATCGTCGGCAGTTATTTATAGAACGTAGTGTCGATATGCTGCGAAGGAGTTTCTCGACATTGTGTCGGCGAGCGGAAAGATATACCCAAACAGAGTCGAAGTTCTGCTGAAGTGAAGTCCACTGGAAATTAACTGGAAATTGAAGTTCTCTTTCCCTTATCGCGCACTTGAAATTCGCGAAAAATTTCCTTCCCTTTTGAATCGTTCATTACTCAAAGATATCCCAATGATTTCGTTAATGAAAAAGAGTAATAACAAACGAATAAGAAATAATTCCGCGTTAATTGAAATATTCGAAACAGAAACAAGAGTCACAAGTTTGCAAAATTGTCTCGAGCAATGCAGGATCGTTTTACGAGTTTCGAATTATTAATCCACATTTTGAGACTGAAAAATTATAAGGTAACTCAAACATCTGCGCATCCTCGCGTGCTTTTCTAATTAGTCGCTCAATTTCTAATTAAAAATCAATGGAATTCCCAATTAAATATCCGGAATTGAATTAAAATTCCGGAATAACGAATTCCCCGGCTTTACCGGTGAATCTAAGTAAGTGTGAAGAAAATGTGTGACTTCAGCATCTTTTCCCTCATATTGACCGGGAAAGTTGACTAAATTACGTCTTCATCTAGACGAGTCCCGTGTCCCTCGGCGCTCCCGAATAAATCAGACAAAAAGCAGCGTTTAACGTTTCACCGATGTCGGTGCACCCGGTCCTAAGACTGTCAGGCATGGACTGTACCTATCCACTCCACCTCTCCTTCTCTCCCTCCCTCTCTCTTGCTCGATTCCGTTAACCGAAGAGCCCGTACAGTACTTTACTCGAAGCGGGACTCACGGAGCCGCGGGTCCGCCGAGTCTGAAAATTTGACGAGGCGTGTATGCGAGTAGCGCAAACGCGCAGGCAAAATCGGCGGCGGCGACGGCGACGGCGGTGGTGGAGGTGGCGGTGGTGGTGGCGGTGGCGGCGGACGCGGAAACATTTGCGGACGAACCTTCCGTCGGACGAATCAATAACGGGAACCCTCGGGTGCGAAGGAGGCACCTCCGAGCGGCGGCGGGACCGCGCGCGCTCTCTCGCGCGCGCGGGGATGTCCCACGCACAATGCAGCGTGCGGCCCCCGCCCGCGCCCTAGCGGAAATCCAGTTTCGTCGGGCGCAGGTAGCCGCGGGTGCCCCGAGACTTTTCTTGCAAATTTTCAGCGTTTATTTTCCTTATTATACCGGACTTCAGGCCGGCGACCGTCGAGGGCGAACGTGCGCCGGTGCGCTTTGCGTTACACGACGCGTGTCTGTCACGACCCGCGACCGGACGTCGTGTGGGAGACGCAGCATGATGGGGGGATCCTCATGACGCAATCGACACGAGAGTTATGTGAACGCATGATCGAGCGAACGCGATATGCCGTGAAAATCGTGGCATCGGTCATTGAAACGCGATCAAAGGTGAGGGGATGATTTCTGACACAGTGAGATTTGCGTCTAGAAAATTATCTATGTCTGTTTATGGAATATTTTACACGCATATATATGCATGCGTATTCATGAGCAAGACATTAATTAATTTATTGAGGACCATAGCTTTTTAATTGGCATTGAAACACTCGTGGCTAAGGAAAAGTATTGGAAGAGAAAGGAAAGGGTGACGGTTCGGCTGGTTACGTTACTGATCGAGGTGGAGGCACGCGGGGACGACTCGCAACGTGTAACATGGCCGAGGCCTTGTGCCCCCTCTTGCCGCCCTCTCGGTCTGAACCGCGCGGACGAGCTTTCAAGGTCGGTCACATTCAGCTGGAAGATGAACTCTTGTCCAAGAGTCACCAGGTTGCGCCACGTTACGGTGCACGTGGAACACGTGGTGCCACGGAAGTCGTGCGATCCTCGAGGTGGGGAAGCCCCCAATGATGCTACCTGTCGCGATAGACACTCCCTAAGCTTGGAGAGTTCTAGGGACTCCCTCTTATCACAGTATCGCACAGAGGTAACGCTTCGTCGACAAATATATTTCTTTCTTTTATATTTTGAAGTTAATTTCATGATTTATTATAAACCCGATTTCCCTGGATAATGATAAATTATAAAATTAATGCTGCGTTGTAAAGGAATCAACTAGTTATTTATATCGGATAATTAAAGCAGTCGGTAATATCAATGCCTAAGTTTTTCTTTGGGTACGTTTTTATCGAGACAACTGTATCATCTAGCCGACGATACTTAATGGTATTTTATCATAGTCAACCGTAAACGTAAAAAAATATATGAAAACTAAGAATTACTTTTAGAAAAAACTTTAGACGGACACTACATTATTTCACGTTGGTAACATCGTAATATAAGCGTAATATTCAAAAATATTCCTAGATTACCGACCGTTGTAACGAAAGGTTCTTTCTTATCGAAAGTCGATAAGAAGATCCCTACAGGTGGTAATTATTCATTTCGTCTAAAAAAAATGGGCGTTTGAAACTTTACATAAAAAATTATGCCATTAATGTATGAATTCAAGCTTCACAAAATATCGTAAGAAAATAAGTTGTGTAGTCGGATTATGCAGATGCTGGGCATTCGTGTAGCATCTAACGCAAAAGGTATCGTCAACAATAAGATTTCACACAGCATTCCCGAATTCAACTACATGTTAGTAGACATGCACCTTATCACTAAATTATGTATTATTATATTAACGTTCTTGATAAGAATGACAAGTCATAAATATCATGGCGAAAATTGTTGCAAAAGTATCGCATGCAACAGATAAAAAAGAGGACGATGTAAAAAAATGAGAAACTGTAAATATTTAGAGAAGAAGGTATGTAAGGAAAACGTCATAAATCAATAAAAAAATTTTCAAACTATTTGGGAATCAATTATTGATAAACTTGAATCTAGAATGGACAGCGAATAATGTGATGATATTTGCTTTACCCCATGTTGAGTCCGTAATTAATGTTAAACGCAGGAAACACGTTGAAACGTCGAGTAAGAAACATTGACTAATATTTACGATATATACGTACTAAGTTCGAGAAATACTTTCTCACGGTTTCGTAATAATAATGGGAGAGAGAAAAAGAGAGAAAGAGAGAGGGAGAGAGAGAGAGAGAGAGAGGAAGAGTCAGAAGCAAGCATTCCGAAATGTCGAAGAACAAGATAGCATCAAATCGGTGGCACTCAAATGCCACGAAAGGTCACACAAGATACAAGAAAACTCTTTCGCAGGTTACTTATCAAAGATTACGGGCTTTCAAATAGTCAAATCTCCGGAAAAACACGACGTAGGGTGACTTGTTCAAACGATAATGACAATCACATAGGAGTATTGGCAAAAATTGATAAGTAGTATTTCCTTTATAACATATTAAAGACAAAAGCAATGCAATTTCTGGATTTGATCGATTTCCACGTATTAGAATGCATTAATGTAATTAAAAAAATATATCGCGTTCGAAAATACTTATTTTATTTGATTTCTACTTCATACGAATAAAAATTATTTATTCCAAAATTTTATTTTTAGCGAAGGATATTCTCTAAATAAAAGTTTGTGTCGTGATCTAAAAAAATCACTATTATAATGATTTATATATGCAATATACGTATGATTTAAGAAACTACACGTGAGCGCTGTATTGTCCGGAATTGAAATAAATTATAACATCCTCGAGTCAGTCGATTCAAAGCCGATTGATGCGAAGTTTTCGATAAAATATATAAAGGACGCAATATATCATTGAATTATAATTACGTCAACCCAAATATGATCACCACTTATCGCTTACAAAACTACCCCTTCACGGCGACCATCTTGAAGTCGCGCCCACTTTCGTGTCTCTGGTGACAGTCGTAAGGCTCCTCAGTAGTACTATCGCGAATGTTAACTCATGGAGAGAGAGAAAGAGAGAAGACAGTTTTTTAAAAAATACTAATCAAACTAGCTGGGAAATAAGATTCTGATTATTTTTGTATTAACTCGTTAGAGACGCGTTATGATCATTCGTGATAGCGGCGCTGAAACGCGAGAGGAAGCCTCGGAGAGACTCACCCACGGACGCGAAAGAGGCGTCGCGACTTCCCAGCGAGAGTTCGCCGACGACGTCGTGTTCTCCACATGCCACGCGCGAGCCGACGGCGCGGTGCTCTTTCTTTTTCTCTTCTACTAGCGCAAATCTCCGGCGCTTACCTTTTTTGATGAGCAAGCTAGTGACCCTCCGTAGCGCCTCGCGAGTGCTGGAGGCGGAGCTGTGCTTACTTTGGCCGAAGTATTTGTTGGGCGTGATGTTCGTGGGCAGCGTGAGCGGCTTCCTCTGGTCCCCGGTGCCGGGCAGTCGCGCGTCGTAGGCGTTGTTGAGCCGCTCCAGATGCTCGATCGAGGCCGGCCGCGGCTGGTTCGCCTTCCTGGTCGGGTACCATCCGCGATTCGGGCCGCCCGCCAACCGCAGTAGCTCGGTGCCGATTATGGCCTGCTCCAGGCCGGGATTGTTTCGCCGGTAACTGCGTAGACGCGAGAAGAGTCAGTGAAACGTGTAACGGAACGACTCCCACGCATGGAAGCCGGAGAAGCCCGAATAAAAGTTTGTCCGAATTTTTTTTCTCTCTTTTCTCGCTCGCTGCGTCCGAAATAAATTTCAACGAACCGACTGAATATTTCACTTTCCTCATTCTCAACTTTTCTGCATAGAAAAATTTTATGTGAATTATTGCTAATTACCCGGTAGCTGTGGTCGGTGCGTACCAGCCGGGTGGTTGCCGTCTCGACTGCGTGGGGTTGCCAGCGTGCTGCGGCGTCCTCGGGATGTCGCTGCCCCTGGCGAACACTGGGGTCTCCGGTAAGGAGCACGACGTCTGCATCCCGGATGCAGTGCCGGTGGTGACGCTACCGCCGGTACCACCACCGCCACCGCTGCAACCGCCGCCGCTGCCGCTGCCACCGGACGAGGAGCACGCCTCTGCCGAGGGCGAGTGCCTCTTAGTAAATGGTCGTCGACGGGATGGTCCCGGTAGGTCGGTGGGTAAGGTCCTTCGCTCGACGGGTACCTGGAACAAAAACATTTTATCTGGTCAGAAAATGACGGGAATATTCTCCTTTTATTTTTCTTGCTTCTTCTCCTTATAACACAACGAAGATCGCGAATCGCGCAGAAAAAACGAGATATATATAGATCGTCTGAGAAATAATATTAAATGTAAACGACACAGAGCAAACATTTTTGTGTATTTTTTGTTTCCTTGTTACAACTGCGTTTTTATTCATTTCGTGCGTTATCAATTTTTCTTTATATTAAATTTGAATTCAATATTTTGACTTTTATTAAATATCAAATTTTTATACAAATGTTTTATCTGTATATTGATTATACGCTGAATAAAGTGAATTGAATCGTCAAATTGTAACGAACTGTTGTAAAGTCGGGTGTTCAGAGAGATCAAGTATGAGTAAAGATGCGGGTTTAAACAATTCTGACATATTACAAATATCAAAGGTGAATACAAGTCGTGTGTTAGATTTTGCATTTGCAGGAACTGAAGAAGTATACTTCGAAGATTACAGCAATTGATGGTTCATCTGATATTTATTATCGAGGGAATAATAACGTTCGCGCGTGGCGTTAATAAATCAGACACGAGTTGCCTCACTCAGAGATATATTGGGAGTTATTAATCGGTTATCTGAGGTTTTAACGTAGCGCGACGTTGATATGTAACGTTGGCTCCCCAAGGAGCAACCGAGTCTCGCACGTGTTACCCGGCTACGCAGAGAGATAACTCGGACCCACGTACAATTAACGGACACCGGTATCTCCGTATACGAATTACTCGAACGTAATTCTGCGAGACCGGTTGCAGCAATTCCTCCTCGGCTATGGTCCGAAAATGTCGCTCGTGCTCGCATTCGTTTTCGCGCGAGTGAAGACGACGACGACGACGACGACGACGACGACGACGACGACGACAGCGACAACGACGACGACTACGACTTTCGGCAAAATTGCGCGTCGCGCGGCCGCCTGGTCTGGGCCGTTCCGGCTCGAAGCGAGAAAATAGCGTGGAAAAAGGAACGACCGTGAACGTCGACTCCTTCATCAGGGACGTAAGGATCCGCGCGCCTTGGCCGGCGAGACGGATAATTATTGCGCCGTAAATCATTGTTATCGCGCCATTCGAGCACCGCTGGGCGGCAATGCCAGAAGAAATTCAACGGGCGAAAGTTCACCGCTTCGTCTTGCCTCGACTTTTATTGTGAGACCGTGAGCCGGTGGCAATAATTAACAAACGAAACGCCGCGTTTTCGGTCACGTGGGACGAAAGAGAACCCGCCGTGAGAGAGAGAAAACTTTCGTGGACGGCGACGCGCTTTATTCCAGCCGGTTCGCGTCGCAAGTTCGTTGTGAAAACGAACGAAGGTCTTTTCTTCCGGAGCCACATCGTAGCTCGCCCGCTTTAATGTGACGCTGACATTCGTTTCTGCACTTCATTTCCACCCAGACTCTCTCGTCGTAATACACGCTAGATGGGCTGATAGCAGCTCACGCGATAACGCAACTTAAAAGAAATTTGATATCGAGTTCGGGCAGCGAGAGGTATCAAGTTTGAAGACGTCAAAGTTCCAAGACCGATCGGCCGATCTCGGCTGAATTTTTACCAAAGACGAAGTCGGATCGACGGAATGATCCATCAAGAATCGAAGACGCTTATGGAAAATCTGGTGGCGCACACTCAGTTGAGAAGCAGTTTGATTACTTTTCTATTTCTGACGAAGTTAGGAGCGCGTCAAACGGCAAATATTGGATTTAAATATTGGTTCTCTGTTACACCCTTATTTGGTAGATAAGGATACAATAAAAATGTCTCTTTTCTGAAAGTTTTTCCTGAATTCTCAGTTACGGTTGGATATCTCACATAGTGTCATTTTGGCTTCTACCATAACGGACTACTGCGCAGATTCATGAATAATGGCTCGCGATGATAACCATATGATGCGCTCTTAATTTAGTCAGAAGGAAAATGCTGAAATCGTTTCGTCAATGAGTACACACAAATCCATACCTCTGCCTTCATATGGCTCTCATAATATTGCAATTGAGAGCTGTATTATTGAGAAATAATTTTTGGAAAGTAAAAAAAATGAACTGATGTAGTCGTAGAATAAAATTACGGATATAAAGGTACATGCACCACGGAAGAAATAAACCTCAGTTTCTAAATAGAGACCAGAATTAAGTAGAGATCAGATGAAAATTCGGCGACGTGAAATAATATCTTCGTCATCCCGTAACTGAAAACATTCAGTTATATCCAGACTTGGTTGTAAGAATAGTGAACAGTTGGCTCAGTAGAAAACTTCTACAGGAATCTTCCTGTTCCTACAACCGAGTTTTTCGTCTGGTCCCTTATTCTTGCCAAGCAAATTCAATCACACTAGCGGAATCGCTTTTTCCACGTACGTGACAGTGACCGGAAAAGTGCGCAAAATTTTTATTTTAGAAATTTTTTTGTAAGAGATAAGTTTGTATATAACCATCATTTCGAATAATTTTTTAGGCAAAGGTCCTAGGCGATATTTGCACGCTTGAGCAAACGGTATAGAAATCTGATATCTTTGATCAAAATCTTTTCACTACTTGGCGACTACCTACGTAGTTTCTTGTATTTTTTATTCTATTTTACGGGCAACGGGGGAGGCGGGAAGGCAGAGCCACTCAGCTGCGGTCCATTGTGTCACATTCTATGCAGTCATTGTGCCGATGTACCGGTACTCATCGTTTTACTCTTGTTGGTAAACCTCTCGCGTATATTTGTGGTGCGCACACCCCGTCGTACACAGACATATGGGACCTACAGTTTAACGTCGGTTGCGAAACGGCTAATGTAGAGAGTTATTCTTAGCAAAGATACTCTCGATGTTTTGTCGGTTGTCTAATACCGAGGGGGACGAGCGTATGAAAATTTCCACACTGTTCTGTCGGGGATTGAACCCGGAACCTCTGATATAGTGTAGTCTGCGCTGTCTGCTACACCACGTTCGCGCTTTGCGTAGCTTTTTATAAATCTTGTTTTTTTTGGAACGAAGATCTATTTCTATGTTGACAGTTGGATCAGCCCTTGTTCGCCACTCTCGTGAGTAATAACATCTTGTACAGGCGCGAATGAGGCGCTCATCATTGTATCCCGTTTTAACTCATTTCAATCTCTTTATCATTGAATATTACGTCACGACACACGCGCGCGCGATGCTAGAAAAAATAATAATTTAACTTACTCGACATGTTGAGTAAGTTACTATACGTTATTTGATTATTAATAATAACTGCCTCACGATCATTATTATCGGAGCAGTCTTTCCCGCGTTATTCACGTAGCTAAGTATAACTGCATATTGCTGATGATTCTGGCTGTTAAACAGACCACACTGACCACATCATGATTAGTTCGTTAGGATGACGAAGGTATCATAGCCAGAGTATATCATAGTCGGTGTAGGATCAGCCTCGCGTTTGATTATCCCGCGGATCTCTCTCCAGGACTCTCGTCCCTGTTGTTAGATTAAAATTACCGCGGCTGAGCGGTCGACTTCATTTCCCGGCGCGGTGAAAGCTAGTGGAAAGGATGATTGAAGAAAAAGGCGGCCAATATCCCTAATGAAAACTTTACGCAGTTCAGCCAAACTCTCCTCCGCCGTTTCCTTGCTCGGTCTCGTACTCTTTATCGTTTCCCGCCTGTCTCTACTTTCTTCTTTCTCCCTCTCGCGGCGCGTCCTACCCTTCGTAATCCCAACAAACTTCCCCCTTTGTTCGCCTGGTAATATGGCACCGTTAAGGAGCATCCCGCCGAGTTTTTCGCGCTGGAACGAAGAAATCGAGTCCTGCTGACAGCATATAAATCGCACTCCTGTGCTTTCACGTCCGACGTTTGTTTACTGCAACCTACCGCATGAACATCGTCGTTTCCAAGGAAAGAGAGAAAGAGAGGGAGAGATAAAGAGAGAGGGAGACAGAGGCAGAGAGAGAAAGAATTACTGTCGATCATCCGGAAGAGAGAGGGGGACACGATTCAGAATTTGTACAAAGAGAATGTTCTTTTTACCGTCGCGTCTTTGCGTCAACGACGCCTGCTGGATTCAGGAGGGAGAGAGTATGAGGTTGACCGTACAAATTTTTCTCGTACAAATTTCCAAGCTGGTGCGTCTTGGAATATATTGAGGACGCAGAAGAAAACGGTACGAGGGCGAGGGAATTTGGTTTCCGGAATATACGACAGAATTATCTTCTCTATGTATGTATGTGTGTGTGTGTCCGCCCTCTGTCTTCCGAGCTCTCAAAAATATTAGACGCTGAAACTCGATGTCGGGACGGAGACTTCCGTGTACTTGCGGAAGGGAAGGTCGCGGTCTCTCGCGGCGGGGTGTACTCAGACGAGTGTTCGCTCCAATTAAAACGGAATCTCGGCGCTATCGGCTACAAACTTATTCATTTCATTAACATAAGATCACGTCGAGAGGCCGGGTCTTTCTCTTTCCCGCAGTCGCGCTCGTTTTTATTCACACGGCTGGTCGTCGCGCCGTCGTCAACGACGACGACTGCTATCGAGCGCGAGAGGTGCGAGCGATCGGTTCGTGCGAATAATAAGCAAACGAATTCGAATCATTTGCTTGCGGGCAAAAACACGGTCTCGCGTGTCTCGTTCTTTTCCAATTAAAAGCAGTCTTGAAATTTCCTTCAGCCCCTGCTTACTCTACCCCGTCGCTTTATTATTCGGATCGCGGGTAATTGCGAGGACGCTCTCGCGCATCTCGTCGTCTGGCGCAACGAATCTGAATATAAGAATAAATAAGTCGGACGCCAATATTCCCTCTTTGTCTATCTGTTTATCGAGCTCTCTCTCTCTCTCTCTCTCTCTCTCTCTCTCTCTCTCTCTCTTTCTCTTCCGCGTTTTTCGTGAAAATTTTTCCCACCGCGATGACGTCGTTGTTCGTTCTGTCGCTCCTTCATGTTACGACCAAGCATCTCGTTGTCCGTGTATTTGCAGGACCAGACTCA